CGAAAACTTTTTCCATACTTCGTGTCATACTCATTGTCTAATAGTTCCCGGTCTTCCTTAGTGCCACTGGAGTCATCCGAGTCTTCCTCATTCGGGGGAGCTACTTGAAAACGTGTTGTTTGCGATTGGGAATCTTTGAACCTTGAGGGTTTGTCTTTATCACGAAAGCTGCTCTTTATAGAATGCCTAGTTGAGGAAATATGTAAAGTATGGATTTAAAAATGAATTTTTTGGGGGGGAAGACATGATGAAGTCTGCATCGAATTGAGTTAACGATATTGTTTTTGTCGACTCCTCAATAGTAGTAGCTATGGTGGAAGGCAATTTAATATGACTCATCCGCCCTCTATTTATGTATGTATATACCCTTCGTTTTCAGAGGGCATAATTCGTCTAGAAGCAACAAACAAATAGAGCTTCAAAAACTTTTCAAAAAAAACCGAGTATCCAAATCTTCGTGGACAAAATACAACTGCGGAAAGTGTAATAAGTTGTTCTTGCTTTTCTTATCGATTTTTTCCTCTCCCAAATTATGATTGTCATCACTTTCGAGGATCATTCGCATCGTGCCGTTGAACCCACCTTGCTTGTTCCACATAATTGAGAGGGAGGGACGAGGAAGGGGGAAGGGCACCGAGTTGCTCGTGCTCGGGCAATGCGCTTTGTGCTCTCGTTCGTCTGAGCAATTGGCCGTTCACAGCTGACAACAACGCGAAGAGCAACACCAAAAGCGAAGTTGCCGAAAATGAGCAACAAAAGTTTCTCAGTGTGAACCCAGTCTTAGAGAAGGGGACGTGACATGTCCTATACAAAGTGAATTTTTCACATTGCATACCTGTGAAAGTATTGTGGTAAATAACGAAAGAGGTTTATGAAGTTGTTATATAATTTGAAAATATTTTGAATAGGGATGCCAGCTGTTTAAAAAGTTAAGCTTAAATTATTTGATAAGTTAAATGAATCATTATAATATGCGTACCAATCGAAATGGTTTTGGAAAGGCTTAATTTCTAAACTACATGTGAAGGGTTGCTGCCTGTGGAAAAAGTCAAATTCAACTTGAATTAAGATAATTATTCAAACCAAATAGGCTTGCTTAAGAAGGTTGTAGTTTAAAAGTATTTTGAAGTGGGTTGCCACCTGTTTGAAAAGTCGAATTAAATTGAATTATACACAAGTTAAAGTGTCAAACGAAAGAGGGTTAAGCAAGCTTTAGTTTAAACTTTAAAATATTTTTTAGTTATGTATTTGAAGGGGGTTAGCTCCAAAATTATTCAATAAGTTAAATAAATTATTACGGTATGGGTATCTATCGAAATAGTTTTGAAAAAGTTGTATTTCTTAATTGCATGAGGGAGGATTGCCACTGGCTTGATAAATTAAATTTAACTTGAATTAAACTTGAATTATGTAGATACCACAATATCGTTAGACGTTTATGAAGGTTTTAGTTAAAAAATATTTTGAATGGGCTTTAGAAAATGTCAAAATCTACTTTTTTCCTGAGTCTAAATATGTTAAGTTTAATTGAAGTAAGTTACACCTAACGCGATTATGATATCCTGCATCCTGCATTCACGACCCTGTTGGAAAATTCTTACAAATTTTAATTGTTTCATTCCGCCACCTCCTTGTTTACACACATAGGTAATAGTAACTAAAATCTTACCTATGTGTTCGCTGCAAATTTTGTTTGTTTAAGATATCGGTAGCGTTTTCATTGAAAGTGTCGTCTTCCAATGCTTCTCCATCGCTATTTACCAAACGCCGATAGACCTCTTGTGGCACATTAAGTTGTATCATCTCATTCGCTTTGTGGTTAACAGGATTCACTTGAAAGCGATTTACTGGGCGATCGACAGAGCTCATTTCGAAAGATGAGGTATCAGACATATTTTTGTTAAAAGTATACTTTTGCTCTTTGGCGTAGTCGCATGAACGTTTTGAAGGTGTTCAACTACGAGAATCGGTGAATGTAACTGCAAAAAAAAAATAAAATAAAATAAATAAATTTATTAAAAAAGTTAACAAATATGTACACACATATGTACGTATGTATATGCTTTATGGTTAGCACTTCACAGATGCCTTTTCGTAATTAAGGGTGTATTCAGTAATGCATCAAGCCAAAGCATCAGACGCATTTATTTCTAAACTATAATTGATGAAATTTTCCAATATGCGCAACCACGGTTAAATGCCTAATTGGAATTTGGTTGCGTAAATAAGGCATTTCCATTAGTTTTAGTTTAGAAGTAAAAGAGACTGATGACTGCTCGTAGCGATGTTTAGATTAGAGTCCGACCGATTCCCAATTTTTGGCTTTAAAAAAAAAAATTAAAAATTTATGGAAAGCGTGCGTGAACTTTGTCAACGCGCGGAATACCAACTACATACATACATATGTACGTACTATTTAAAGTCAAGTCCACATTTACTTGTTCTAATTTTTATACCTTTCATGAGCATGAAATGGTATTATAACTTTGGTCCGATGTTTGTAAGTACCAGAACAAAAAGAGATAGACCCATGAAAATGTATACTTATATGATCAGAACGTCGAGCTGAGTTGATTTAGCCATGTCCGTCTGTCCGTCTGTCCGTCTGTCCGTCTGTCTGTCTGTTTGTATGCAATCTAGTCTCTCAGTTTTCGAGATATCCGGATCAAATTTGGTAGGTGGGTGTATTTTTATAATGTATTAATCATTTGTCGGAACCGGAAGAATCGGACCACTATAACATATAGCTCCCATACAACTGATTGTTCAGATATGAGATTTTTCATTATAACTTCTCCATTTATGCAGCTACGAACATGAAATTTTGCAATACTTGCACCCATTATCAACAGAATACTTACAGTGAAAATTACAAAGATCGGGTCACTATAACCTATAGCTCCCATACAACTGATTGTTCAGATATAACATTTTGCGTTATAACTCCTCCATTTATATAGCTAGGAACATGAAATTCCGCACTGTTTTCAATAATTATCAACAGAAAACTTACAGTGAAAATTAAAAAGATCGGATAACTATAACCTATAGCTCCCATACAACTGATTGTTCAGATATGAGATTTTTCGTTATAATTCATCCATTTATGTAGCTAGGGCCATGAAATTTCGCGCTGTTTTCACTCATTATCAACAGAAGACTTACAGCGAAAATAAAAAAGATCGGGTCACTATAACCTGCAGCCCCCATACAACTGATTGTTCAGATATGAGGTCTTTTATCATAACTCCTCCATTTATGCAGCTAGGAACATGAAATTCCGCACCATTTTCACTCATTATTAACAGAATACTTACAGTGGAAATAACAAGGATCGGATGACTACAACATATATCTTCCATACATCTGATTGTTCAGATATGGGATTTTACTGTAAAACTCCTTTATTTGAACAGCTAAAACCGATAAATTTCGTAAGATATTTTATAAATAATAATACAAAGTCTACTGAGAAAATCGTCAAAATCTATGCTGTATAAGCTTTATCTCCTATAGCACTGATTGTTAAGATACCAGTTTTTGCCATATATCTCCTTTATGTAGGAAACTAAACCCAATAAATTGTGTTACCGGTTTACATACCGATCACATAGCAGTGAAAATCACTTAGATTGGTGCCATATAAAGTATATCTTCCATACCTCTGATTGTTTAGATGCGATTTTTTATATAAGTATGTAACTCCTCTATCGATGTATGCAGATGTATTCAAAAGCAGTAATCTGTCAAAGTAAAATTTGCAGATGTTCATGAAAGGTATGAAGCCTTCGGCATAGCCGAAGACAGCGCTGCTCTTACTTGTTTTTTTTTTAAGTTTGCCAACATTTTAAAATCATATAAAAGTGAATAGAAAGAAATGAAATTGTTCGAAATTGTTGTTGCTTGAGATTGAAAATGAAAATGTGTGTGTGAGTTTGTGAGTAAATTTAAAAATTAAATTGTTTGGATACGTCAAGAATTTGAAAAATTCCTCTCAGCGGTTCTACCTTACTATATTTTTATCATGGCTAAATCAAAATTTTTTGGAATTTTTGTCCGTCTGTCTGTATGTTTGTACGCGCATCACTCTAAAACTAATGCATGGAATTGAAGTCAGTTTTCACCAACGTGTTGCTGGAGGTCTAACTTGAAATATAGAAGGAAAACAATTAGAGAGTTGCCACCTGTAGGGAAATTCTAGTTTGAGTGAATGGATAAGATAAAGTAAATATTGCAATGTGACTACCAAAAGAAAGAGGGTCAAGAAGGCTTGCAACGGAAAAAATTTTTGTGGAGGGTTGCCGCCTGTGTGAAAATTTTAATTTAATTGACAAAATAAATTAAATATTGCAAGGGAAGTTGCGGATTGTATGCTTACGAAAAAAATGTGGATGAGGAAACATAACCTAATTGCCAGGCCCTGGGTATTTTGTGGTATGCTCGAAAATTTTCGGAGAGTGTCTCTCTGTTTTTCGCTTAATTCCAACATTTTACTTTGGCTTTTATTGATCCTTTTCCTCTAAATTTTCCTACTCGTTTTCCCTTCGCTGTCGCTTTTCTCTTTATTCTCACTTCTGCTTTTAATTTTTCTATTCCTTTCGATTCCGTTTCCATTTACTTCATTATTTAATTTTTCATTTCTTTCTTAGATGATATATATTCTAGGCCTAATTATTTATTTTTTTGTTTGCCCAGTGAAAAATATTTAACTTCACTTTTTGTTAAAATATGATTTTGAACGTTTTCAATTTGAGCCCAAATGAGGTCGCATTATCCGTAGCCAACATCAGACAATATTTGGACAGGATTGCCTTTATCGGCGCTTTCTCACTTTGTTCTCTTTTTTGTACACTTACTATCCAATGTTCCACGCTTATCTCTTGTCGTCTGGCAGCTTGTCCTCTTCGTTGCGATTCTTCGTCGGCCACAAAAAGTACTTCATTTTAGCACTTTCCTTATCAGATTCAAGGAAATTGAAACGATTTATTTTTTTTTTTTTTTAGAAACTTTATGCACAACAGCGTGTGTTGTTTTACA